TCTCTCTCTCTCTCTCTCTCTCTCTCTCTCTCTCTCTCTCTCTCTCTCTCTCTCACACACACCCACACACACACACACACAGGTCCTGCATACGACGGCGCTCATGGAATAGCGGGTACCAGCTCCGATACCAGACTCGTCTTAGTCACACTTTTCATGCATGTAAACAGCAGCGCAGCAAACTGGCGACCGGCGCCCACTCAATTCTCAGAGATATGGCTTCCAGATGAGAGTTCACTTTCAACTGGCTATGGCGACTCAGCTCCCAATCAACTCACTGTTCACATACACTGGATCACCCTGGATATCCCACACACGTCACTCTGAACACTCACACATACACACACACTCTTCCCACTAACTACAGCTATGGCAGCTATGGCTGCCTCTACCCTATCGCTATGCTAACTCCTCCTCTCTTGCCCACTGCGTCCTCCGGGCTCACTGCAGACCTCCTTGCACAAGTCGCTGTGGCAGCACTTCCGCATGGCTCACGCAGGAATGAATGAAAGGCTGGGCGCTGCCTCTTGATTTATACTTCTGCAGGTCGTTTGTCTGGCCCATTTCCCTTGCCCGAAGTGCACACAGTCCCGTGCGGTACTTGCTTGACTAACTGGGGACTGGGACTGCTGACTCGGCAGGGTAGACTTCCCCCACTTGCCCACTTGCCTCACCACTTGAACAGTTGCCTCTGCTTAAACGTGGGCAACTCACGAAAGGCCACTACTGGGACCTTCCGGAAGGCCGTAGACTTGGCCTTTCGTGACTGTAGCAGCTACAACCTTGACCTTTCGAGAATACTACAGCTACGATGTTTAGACCTGACTTAGACTCCTATCCGACAGGTCTACAGATCGAACCCATGCTACCTATGGACCCTACGACAACCTATCAGCTATTACAAATACACAGGTCGCGGGTTCAATTCTACGGGTCGACACAGGTACTGTACACAGGTAGGGTTGGGGTCTAGGGATCGAACCCTGGGATCTGCAGCAGCTATTGCTAACTGGTGGATACCGTTTCACTCCCGCTGTCCTAAATTCGAGGTCCTCCGATAATATTTCAGTCCAAGACAGGACCTTTACCCTTCTTGTCAAGCTCACAGGCTCTGACTATGTCGGGAGCTGTCTCTAGAAGCTCTGTTCTGGTAAACCAGCGGTCGCCTTCCGGTTCCTGATTAGCAAACCGGACCTTATACTGTTTCTGGGGAGGACCTCTACGTCCTGTTCTGAACACATCCTCATCTACAATGCCGTCAATGTCATAACTTCCATCCATATCCGGGGGGATCACGGACCTTCTTGAAGGGAACTGTTGACTTGTGACACACGGGAACAGCTTTGAAGCATGAAACACAGGGTATGTGTGGAGTTGTGTTGGGATCTCTATAGTGTAGGACGGTCCATCCTCTCCGCCCTTGACTTCTAGAACTGGCCACGGTCCTCTATATGCAGGCAGTAACTTCTGCGAGATGTTTTCTTCCGGTGCAAACTCTTTTGCCTTGACCCAGACAAAGTCGCCTACTTGAAACTGTGATGGGTGACGGTGCTTATTAGCCTGTTCTATCATCCTATGCTGGGCCTTTCTGAGGTTCTCAACAAGAGTGCTAATTCTTTCTCGTGCTCTACCGCAAATTCCCTGGTACCGAGCGGTAGTCTGTGAATCTGATCCCGGTTCAGTCCTTCGAACGGTCTGCGTGGTCTGAAGGACTTGTGCAGCTCATTGGGAGTGCGGCAGGTGGATAGATGCACGCTGTTGTTGTATGCACTAGCTACCTTAGGCAACATCTCATCCCAATTGATCTGATCGGGTCTAATATACATGCGCAGAACTTGCTCTAGGATCTTGTTCATCTGCTCTGTCTGACCGTTGGTCTTTGGATGACGGCCACATGACATTAACAACTTAGATCCGTACACTCTCATGAGTTCTTGCCAGTTCTGGCTGGTGAAGCGACTATCTCTATTGCTGACTATTGACAATGGGATTCCATTCTCACTAACCCAAAAGTCAAAGAACTTTTGTATCACTAAGTCTGTACGTGCCTCTGCAGGCAAAGGAACAAAAACTGCATACTTACTAAACCGGTCAACTATGACCATGACTTGGTTTTTACCATGCCGGCTCTTGACTTGGGTGTCCATGAAGTCTATGGACACTGAGTCTCCCGGCTGATCCGAAATAGGCAAGGGTCTGAGAAGACCAAGGGGTGCACGCGTAGTAGTCTTATTACGCTGGCATACTTTGCAACTACGGGCATACTCTATGCAGTCATTCTTCATTCCTGGCCAGGTATACGCACGCATTAGGTTGGCTAATGTCTTTTGCCAACCGAAATGTCCCTCGGTATCGTGGCATTCCCCTAGGATCAAACTACGGATCTCTTCGCTGTTGGGAACGCACAGACAGTCGAATACGTTAGTCTTCTCAAACAACAATCCGTTTGTAGTGCGATAATCTGGCTCAGTCTCTGGGGCCTCTCTAACTCTCTTTAGGAGGTTGCTATAGATAGGGTCTTGCGCATATGCTTGCTTCACTTTCTCCTGCAGGTCTCTCCCTATATCCAGATAGTGTACTATGGCTCCAAAGTAGTCCGATCTCCTATTCAGAGCATCCGCAACTACGTTGTACTTGCCCTTCACTGGCTTAAGCTCAAAGTCATATTGGTCTATCTCTGCGGCCCACCTAGTCAATTTAGGTGTCATCTTGGCCTGGGTCTTTAACCATCTAAGAGTCTCGTGGTCAGAGTACACTGCAGGTAATGCTTCTAGTGTTCTAAAGCCTGCTTGAGAGCATAGAGTTCTCTCTCGTACGTCGAGGTAGCAACCTTCTCTGAAGGCATCCTCACTGACATGAACTCTACGGGTCTGTAGCCATTGTTGTCGTCTTGCTGCAACACGGCGCCTATCCCATACAGACTTGCGTCCGTGGTGACGACAAATGGCAAAGACGGATCAACTACTTTGAGGACAAGGTCCTCTATTAACGCGCGCTTCAATTTCTTTAGCGCAGACGTACAATCTTTGTCCCATTGCCAGATTGCTTCTTTCTTAAGCAACTGGCGCAGGGGAGCGGTGATAGTAGAAAAGTTCCTCACGAACTTACTGTAGTAGTTGGCTAGGCCTAGGAACGACCGCAACTCTGTCAATGTGCGGGGTGTCGGCCAATCTCTAATTGCCGCTATCTTGCTGTCCTCTGGCTTTATGCCATCTCCGTCTAATACGTGGCCCAAGTACAGAACTTGTGTCTTGGCCCACTCGCACTTCTTTGCGTTGATCTTGAAGTTGACTCCCTCAACTTCTCCAAGACCTGTCTCAGATGACCCTGATGCTCCTGGAGGGTCTTGCTGAAAACTAAGATGTCATCTAGATAAACTACGACAAATCTATCCAACCAAGGTCTACACAAATCATTCATGCAACGCTGAAACGTAGTTGGCGCGTTGGTTAGTCCAAAAGGCATCACTATGAACTCATAATGCCCATATCTAGTCCGGAAGGCAGTCTTGTACTGATCATCAGGATGGACTTCTATCTGATGATAACCGGACTTCAAATCAATCTTAGTGAAATACTTACAACCTTGCACCCGATCTAGAAGATCATCTAAGGGCAGTGGCTCAGCATTCTTCACAGTAATCGCGTTCAAACCCCTATAGTCTATACACATTCTCAGCTCTCCTTCCTTCTTGGGGACAAACAAAACTGGTGCTCCAAAAGGAGACAAACTGGGCCTGATCCAACCTTTCTCTGGGAGCTCATCTAACTGCGTCCGCAGCTCCTCTAACTCTCTAGGGGACATTCTGTAGACTGCTCCCTTAGGAGTTCTACTGCCAGGTTCTATCTCTATTTGATGCTGGATGGGTCGCGGCACTACTCCTGTCGGCGACTCGGTCAAATCTTTGAACTCCTCCAACAGCTTGGCAATGGTTGGATCTGTGGAACTATCCTCTTTGTTGGCCTTAGTGAAAGGTCGAACATAAACTACAAAGACCTGTTCTTCTAATCGCTCCTTCTTTACTAACCGCGCGAACGCGGGAGCACTGAGACAGCAATGTGCCAAGGCGTTGTCTACACCTGACACATGAAACAGGCGGGCAGTCTTAACCTCGCCTGATGGGCTAGGGGGCCTGCACTCATGCTCTCTCAAATGGAGTGTGGCCCCTGCTGCTTCTCCCCAATCCATTCCTAGGACTACATCAAAAGGAAGGTCATCCTGTACGAGGAGAGTCAGGGAATGGAGAACTTTCTCCACCTTCCCATCCTTCTCTAGGCGAAAGTACACCTGGACTCCCTCTACGTAGTCCTCAACTCGCATCATGCGGTTGTCTGCGAGGACACTGACTATGGGGTCTACTAGCTTTTGGACTTTTAATCCTAGCCTTAACTTTTTCAGCGCTCTGCGGCTAATGTAACTGCGGGTGGCCCCTGAGTCTATAAGGGCCCCTACTCTACTCCTGAAAACCTCTACATCTACCAAGATTAGCTGTCCTTTACTCTCCTTCTTCATCTTGGCCCAGGTTGGCATCCTCTCCTTCAGTTCTTATGCCACACCTGTGAGGGACGTGCCTAAAGAAACGCTAACACAGGCGGTCTCTGGACAGCGAGCTAGGCACGGGCCTGTAACCTCTGCCATAGGCTCATGTGGGTTGGGAGTATCCTGTTCGCGCGCGCTCACTTCTCCACATGGCCTTGAAGTAGGGGCAGTTGCAACCCCTACTGGCGGCTGCCTTTTGGCTGTTGGGAAACCCAACGGGCCTGTCTATACTTAGGACAACATTTGATAACGTGGGTCGTGTCACCACAGAATACGCACTGACCCTGGTCCACGCGTTCCTGCCATAAACGCTGGTCCAAGCCCAAGTCTTCCCAGGGTCTGCACTGTAGCAAGCCTGGGTGCCAACCTCCTTGAGGTGCCCTTCCACCTCGTCGTTGAGGGACCTTGACCCCTACCTCCCGCTTGGCGGTTTCCTTGGCCGCCAACCCCCTGTGCGCCCGGTCCTCGACCTCCCATGGCCTGGCCCCTTTGGCCCTAGCATCCTCCTCTACCTTGCAGCCTCCCTCCAGCCGCGACAGCAGCATAAGACCTCCCCTGCCCTACACTACTGTCCTCTTGATCTAGGCCCCACTCAATCTGACTATATGGGACCTCATCAGTACCACCTTCCTCTAAGGTAAGGATCATATGATCCTTGGCCCTCACTTGGCCTGAAAGTGGTAACTGCCATAGACTTTGACCAAGTCTTCCCCTTGTCCAAGTCCTTATGCCAGAAAGTGGTAACTGGCATAGACTACTCATACAGGACGACTTCTCTACTTGATGCATCATACGCGATGTCGGCCTGTTGAGACTTATCAAAGAAATGCCCACGCAAGGCCTCTGGTATGGCACGATAGAATAACTGGACCAACTGGGTCTCAGTGACCCCATGGTCCGGGACGGCTACCAAGTCGTCCATGGTTCCCTTGAGTGCCCTTGCACTCCTCCACTGTCGTGAGTGGATTGTTTGTAGCTTGTCAGAGGCACGAATGCCTCTCATTGGGTCGGTTAATCGATCCTTCAGGAGCTTGAGGAATTGAGAAAGGGGAGTGACCTTTGAATATGCAACCAGGTTGTTTTCACAACCGGCTGCGCGCGCAAGGGACCTAGCGAAACTAGTCGCTTCATCCTTGAGGGCCTGAAAGGCCACGAGGACTTGCTCCTCTGCCAGGATGTGTTGTAAATAGATATAACTATTGACAATGGCTTCCCAGTTGTCAAAGTTTTCTTCCTTTTTACCCCCGTATGCGTCTGGGAACTTGAGCTTTACTGGGTCTTTACGGGGTCTGCCCTCACCCTCTACAGCAGCTATCGCTTTGGCGCCCTCAATAGCGCTATCACAAAACTTCCCCACATTGTCTCTCAACTGCTTGACTTCGCCCCCAATGTGGGTAACGATTTCGCGCGCAAAGTCTCTGAACCCCGACCGCATGGCACTCAAAGCAACGTCTTGGCTCCAACTTGCCTGACGTTCCTCCATCCAGGCTTTGCCCAACACCTCTAGGTACCCCAGTACCTTATCCCACCTGGCCTTATCGTCTGCTTGGGCCTCCACTTCTCTCCTACAGTCCTGAACCTTTGCCACTTCTGCGGTCATTTTGCTTACTTCCTCTCTCCTCCTCTTCTTCTCCCTCTTCATTCGTAACTTCCATGACAATTTATGTTCCTCTTCCCTTTCTCGCCGTTCCATGGGGTCCTGCATTGCTGCTAGTTCAGCGGCTAATGTAGCCCGCTCATCATCAGTCACGTAGGACTCCGCCTCTTCGTCTTCCCCTAGCGATAAATGAGCAACCCACACGCTTATGTTCTTCTCGATCTCTGCGTCTATGTCCCTCTTCATCGTGCCTCCACTGCTCCCTTCTCCACTTTCAATCCTCATCCTCTCTTTTTCTTCTTCTGCTGCCGCTTCTTCTTCAGCAGCCTTCTTCCTTTTCTCCATCTCCTCTTCCAACTCCTTCATCTTGGTCGCCTGCTCATCTGCGATAGCTTTTAACTTCGCCTGCTTCTCGCGCTCTTTTCTCTCCCTGTTCTCTTTGACTAAGGCGGCCATTTTCTCTTGCTGCTCGGCGGTGTAGGGGGTAGTAATAGTCCCCTTTCGGGTCTCAACCATGGTGATAGGTGCACAATCAGAACGATTCCACTCCTCACCACGTAGACTCTAACCCCTGACTGACAAACCTATTAACTCAATCTAAGACTCACAGAATCCTGACAAGGATCCTGTCAACTATGGTCTCTAGCCTAGACCTACACTATGGCTGTCACTACTAGACCCTTTGCTGATCTGGAGGCATTTAAGGAGATCCCCCGTACCTCCTCAAGAATTCTTTAACGTCGCAGACAGGACGACGTGATCAGCTTGGTCTTGGCCTGTTGCATCAGCCCACAACTCAGCCTTTCGGGCCTACTGTGCCACACCGAGCAGCCCGCCAGTCAGTAACGGTCCTTGGGAGGGTTTGATCTCCGGGACAGTCGAGTCGTCAGACACGGCCTTTAGCCTTACTAGGTCCGGTGGGGATTTGGGTCAACAAGGCCCTCAACACTTAAAATTGCCTGTTGTGTCAACCCACAACTCGCCGTTCAAGCCCTCCGTGCCACGCCCAATCCGAGCCCCGCCGGTCAGCACCGGTCCTTGGGAGGGTTAGGCCTCCGGGACAGTGAGATTAGACACGGTATCAACTCTACTAAGTCAGGTACAGGTTTCGTCATCCAGGCCCTATCCTTCATCCACAGAGTACTATCACCTAGGACAGAAGAGACTCGATGCAAAGGAATGGACAGACGGACTGGACTCAGCAAGTACCAAGGGGTGTGTGCACATCATAGGGCGAGGGGTAGGCTGAAGGCTTGGCGAGATTTTACCAACTCCAGCTTGGTCAAAGTCTTGGTCAACACCCTGGTCAACGGCCTTGGTCAATGCTGCTATGGCCCCTGGTCAACCCCCGGTCAACTCCGGTAACCACCGGTCAACACCCCCGGTCAGCTATGGCTGCCGGCTCTTCTTCCTCGCCAATCCTCTTCTTCCTCTTCGCCTTCCTTGCCTCCTTTCACCCCGGCTGTCTTCTTCTTCTCTTTTTTTTTTTGATCGGCCTTCTCTTCACCTCTCATCTATGGCCGCTCTCTCTCCCTTCTCGGTCTCTCCCCCTCTGTCCGGTCTTTCTCCCTCCTTCACGACTCCGTGGTAATGCTCTGCGGCTATGCCCGCTTCTTCTTCCTCCACGTGGACTGCACAACTCGCTTCACAGTTAAGTGGCAACCAAACTTGTATCGCTCATCTCTCTCTCTCTCTCTCTCTCTCTCTCTCTCTCTCTCTCTCTCTCTCTCTCTCTC